CTAATGCATCCCACACATGCTCTATGGGATTTAGATCTGGAGAGTAAGCTGGCCAATCCATTCGTGTGATATCTTCACTTTCCAGTAGCTCTTGAACATTAGCAGTACGCTGTGGCCGGACATTGTCATCCATAAAAATTAAGTCTGGTCCAATGGCCCCTCGGAACAGACGCACATGGGGTAGGATTACCTCATTGCAGTAGCGGTCTCCAGTTACAGAACCTCGGTCGAAGGTCTGAAGCTCACTCCGCCCGTTCAACATAATGCCACCCCAGACGGCAACTCCAGGACCACCGTAACGATCTCTTTCCGCGATGTTATTGGGATGAAATCGAGCTCAAACCTCTCTCCAGATCAACTGCAGTTGAGAATAGCTTGTAGCAAAACGACTCTCATCTGTGAAGAGGACGCGACTCCATTGATGAGGTGTCCAGGTTTCTTGTTCTCTGCACCACTCTAAACGGTGCCGTCGATGGCTAACTTTTAAAGGTACTTTCATTTCTTCTAAAAACACATGCGTGAATGGCCATAATATAGTATTGCATATTATGGTGTTATATTAATTCTATAATTATATTAATTCTATAATTATATTGATTCTATAATTATATTAATTCTATAATTATATTAATTCTAATATATATAAATATTACATATTTTTACACTTTCATTTTTTTATTTATAACTATTTGAAAAATTTAATATTTTGAGAATGCTTATTTCTCAAATCGCTTTGCATTATGCTGCCGATAAAGGATTTGTGCATTTTCGCAAGCCTTAACAGGTCCACGGGATAATTCCAAAGTAAATTCTTGTAAATCATTTTGATATTAAAGACGTTTATTTTTTGCTGAATGGACAAATGGTTGGATAATTTAACAGCTACTTAGAGCACAATCTTTTGATGTACATTTAAAAACTAAGAGAAAAAAAAACTTATAGTTTATGAAAGTTTTATTACTTTTGAAATCTACAATTCTGATACACAAATGAAAAATAAATGGAGTAATGAACCTTCAAAAAGCCACGTTCGGCGCACACTTTATTTGAAGCGCACAAGCAGTCCACTTTTTTTTGGCAATAGAAGCATTCTCGTGTTTATGAGGAATAAATTGCATAAGAATCTCACTATATATATTGACTACAAATTAGGATGAGCATTTGGTAAATTGGCTCGTTGCTAGGCAATGGAGAGTGATCTGTGCTGTCTCAAATACTATTCATTTCTTCTTCTTTCCTTGTCCAATCATGGCCAGCACAGATGCAACTGCATCCTGGATCAATTGTTGCGATTTCAGACCAGGCGATAAAGCAGATAAAAGAACTGAAAGACAAATCATTTTATTTAGTCATTTTAAGAATTTTTTTGGAATTTAACGTAAAATTTTTTTTTCTACACTTAATTGACAAATAACATTGCTAATTATAAAATTTATAATAAACAAGTACCTATAGCAGAGGTCGCTAAACTTATGAAGCTACCGCACTGTTTTTAAATACTATTGAGAGCTACCAATTTTGTTTCACTCTCAAAAAATGTTCAAAAAATTATCTAATTGGAAATCATTCCCTATGGTAGAATTATAATAATTATAAGGAATTATTGAATGCAGAATTAAAATGAAAAAAATAAAATTTGCTATCTTAATATACAGGCACTATTAAAAAATAATCTGAATCATAAAAAAACATATTTTTGAAAACAAGATAAAAATTTAACACAATGTTACTAATTTAATATACAATATGCTACAGATTAAGGTTTGTAGGCCTACTTAACAATTAAATGTTTTTTTTTTTTAATTTAATAGTTTTTTTGACAATGTTTGAGTTTGGTTCAAAGTTATGTTATATTTCTTGATGACTGTCCTTCACCAATAAATAGTATTCTTTTTCAAAAAAAAAACCTTCAATTCTTTCATGTAAGCTTCTACATTCATTTTAAAAATGCAAATATTCAAAAACATGATACGTAAAAATATGAAAATACAAGTTGACATTTTGTGTTGTTGGAAAAATTTTAATCTGAAGAGAGACTTTGGTATTTTTACTTTATTTATTTTTCATATACAGGTATGTCATGTCAATAGCAGAATATCGGAAAAAAATATTTCTTAAAAATTTCGTGAAGTTGGATTTTTTTCTTCATTATCTTGGATGTGCACAATTCTGTTACGTAATCCTGACAATGTTGCGCCCCATTAATCATAATCATTAATCATAACCATCATTAATAATAACCTTAATCAGTCTCAAGAATATTAGAAAGTTCAAGATTATTTTCAATTTTACTATTTCAATTTTACTTTTCAATTTAACTATTTTTTTAGTCCATATTTTACTTCAGTTTGAATTCTCTTTGTTTACATTCCTGTTTTTTTATGTCGAAAATTTTCTATTCTTTTACATTTTCATGAATATTTTCATTAGTTTGTTCTTATTTGATGTGTCATTTTCTTCCTTTCCTTTTTTTTTTTCTTTTTCTTTCTACTTTTTTTTAATTTTTATACAAACTTTTATTTTCTTTACAGATATTTTTATTGAAATCATTAACCAGGATATCAAGAAAAGTGTGNCTTCATATATATATATATATATATATATATGCGAGGCATATATGTATGTACATATATAAATACTGCAGTGACAAAAGTCATGGTAATGCAATATGGACAACAGCCTGAACAACAGAGTGGCCAACCAACTGCACTTAATGACTGAGAGCACCTGCGTGTGCGTAGAATTGTCAGTGTTAACAGACAAGTAACATTGCGTGAAATAAACATAAGCATCAATGTGGCATGTGAAATGGTCGTGTCCAATAGGACAATGTGGCAAAATTTGACTATAATGAGATATGGCGGCAGAAGGCCGACTCGAGTGCATGAACTAATAGCACGCTATTACATCTCCTGTGCTGGAGACAATACTGATTGGAACCTAAGCGACTGGAAAACTGCAGCCTGATCAGATGTGTCACAATTTCAGATGGTCAGAGCAGATCAGAGAGTTCAAGTGGGGCACAGAACCCCACAAAGCCATGGACCCCAGTTGTCAAAAAGACACTATGCAACCTGGTACATGATGATTTGGACTGGGTCCTATGGTAGGATTTCACCGATCATAGACTGGAAATGTTGATGTTCAGCTACTTGCTAACCACTTGAGGCTACTAGGAGACCTTCATGCACCCAAACAAAGATGGAATTTTTATTGAGGTTCTAAACTAGTTCAAAAAACAACATTCCAGACAATTCCAGAGAATGATTTGGCCAACTAGATTGCCGAGTTGGAGCCCAAGAAATATCCATAATATACAATCAAGAGGCTAGTTCGCGCACAAAATCCTGAACCTGAAACAATTCTGCAAATGGACAACTAGTCAAATTTTTACTTTGTGACATAGCTAAGTTAACTGTTAGCTGAGCTTAAAACCAAAAAGTAAATATTTTCTTCACTTTTTTTGCTGTAAATGTAAACAAAAACTGGTCCTGAAGCAAGCAAAAAAATTTTTCAGGTCCTTGTAAACATTGCTTTCCACATTACGTAATTGAACTGGGTGAATCTCGTTCCTTGCTTGAGAGATCGCCTTACTTATGAGGCAAACATAAACAACAGACCAAAACAGTTAAGAGGCTCTCATTGTGTCTTATGGATAACTGTTGGGAATGAATTATTATTTTTAAACAAATTATTATTTTAAAAATTATTTTTAAACAAAATTAAAATAAAGAAAAAAGATTAAGACAGCAGATTAGAGTATTTTCTAGTATTGTATTAATGTAGTCAAAACATTTAAAATAGTGTGTCTTTTTCTAAAAAGAATTTTTTTATTAAAGAAATTAGTATTTCTTCTTTTTCTTTAAAGAATGTTTTTACTTTTTTTTATTTCTTTCTTTCCTTGTTTTCTTTATATTATATATGTTTGCAAAAATCGAATATTTTAAAAGTAAGAGCTGCCACAAGCTCAATACCATCATTTTATCGTTTTTTTAAAATTTCTTTTGGGCAAAACCAAAATTTAATAACTTCTTTTAGCAGCTAAATAATTATGCAGAAAAAAAAACATTCGATTTTTTTTTTGTCCTCCCTTCCCATTTTGAAAATTCCAAGATTTCTAAAATATCATTTCAAGATAGCACATTGAATCTAGTTAATGAAGAATATATTTAAAATTAGTTTTAAAAAAAATTATAAAATGTAAACATTCTTACAGTAAAATAAATAAAATTGTAATAGTTCTAAAAGTAAAAAAATAATAATAATTTGAATGAATAAGAAATAATAAGAGAAGGAAATAATAAGAAAAATTAGAATTGGCATCAAAATACAATAGCGACTAAATGAACAGCGACAGTATACATACCAATCAAATATGTCAGAAACAGATTACTGATTAAATTTCCAATCCAGGCTGTAAGTATCAGAGTTCCAACGACTCCCAATACATACTAGAAAGAAACAAATTAATTACATTAGTTGTAATTTCGTGAAAAATATATATACTAGGTCAGAAAAAATGAATCGTAAAATATATAGTTTTCTAAAGAAATAAAAAAAATATTTCTTAACCAACTTAGTAAAGAACAAAATCAGTATAAAAAAAAAATTTCAGTTTTAGAAAACCCTTATTCATGTCAAAATTGTTTAAAAGTGCCCAGCTGGGTCCCATACTTCATGTTTAATCCCATTTGCAGCTGCCTTGCAAGAACAATGGCTCAAACTTCCAACGAAACTGCTAAATTGAAAGCATCACTACACCAATATATATGCTGCTAGATGTGCTCATACTCCACACTGAAGGCACTTTTTCTATTCCAAATTGACAAATCTGATTTATTCATTTCATACACATGCTATTTTCCGTAACATTATAACTGTCTGGTAAACAATTTTTATATGTTATTATGAGCACAATGTGTGCCAGTTTCATTAAATTCAACGCCTAACTTTTTGAGTTATGGTCATTTTTATGATTTTTATGTAATCTATGACAACCAATGTACAATCGTTATCGTGATATTTGATTTTTAAATTATGCTAATACAAATCACGATGCACAATTTCTAAATAGTGTGGATGTGAATCACAAAGTGTAGCTACATGTTCAAAGTGCTTGGTATTAAAACTCGGTACTTATTGGTACTGTGCTCCTAAGTGTTTGGTATTAAAATCGTGCGAATAAGGATTGGAATATCAGAGCAGTTTCAAACATTGAAAAATGGCGAGAAGCTGACAAACGGAAAGAATGAAATTGGGGGATTTCCATTAATTTGTGTGAAGGTCGCACATATGCAATCGGATTTAGTGAGCATCTAAAAGATTAAATTTCAGATTGTGAAAACTTCATCCAGTTATGAGCTTTTGATTCGCGAAAATCCGTGACTCAATAGTCTTGAAATACGCAGGATTGTGAAAATTCACAGAAAAATCTCATAGGTTCTACTTTTAGTTTTTACACCTGGAAGGATGATAGGAAAAACCCAAAATTCTGAGGTACACCCGGGATACAATCACTTCTGCCCTATAAAACAAATTATCAATAAAAAATTGAAATGAGGTCCATAATGTACCCTTATTTGCCATGTGAAGGCTAATGTATGCTTCTTGAATTACTAAGAGTGTATCTTATTGAATGAATATCTAATCATTAGACCAGAAATTATGAATTGTTCTATTTTTCACAGTTGCCACTCAAATCTGGAGAAATATTCCCTGTGTTTTCCCTACATATTACAATGTATTAAGAGGAAACATACAATCACTGCGCTCTTGAATGACGCATAATAGTCCAGCTATACTATTCTTAATTGCTGGAAAAACTTAAAAAATAAAAAACAGCTTAACATACTTGAAACAAATAATGTTATAGTAAACAAAATAGTTTAGTATAGCTGAAATATCATCCTTAAATATCCCATAGATTGCGCTTTGAGTGATCTCCACTTTTAAAAGACCAAAATAAGAAATAAAACTCCCTGTATTTTCCCAGTTTGAAAGGAAAAATTCAAAACTCCTTGTATTTTAGGTGATTTTTAAATTCCCTACATCTTCAAGGTTTTCCCTATTCTTCCTTTGGAGTGGCAACTTTTTTTTCTTTTGCTCACTGGATTCAACAATAAAACACTATTAGCTATATGTACAATACTCCCAACAAAAATGAACTCAAAATTACTCACAAGATAAGGTTTTGTTTCTTTTGTCTGTCGTAGATAATCACAAATGTGCTTTGTTTTCACGTAACAACCAACAAGGCTGCGACAAATGTCTTCATACTTCTTTTCTCGCGATCCAGTCCTGAAGAAAAAGACCATAAAAGCAAAAGGAATAAGAAAGAAATTAAATTCTAACACACACGATTAAGACATGAATCTCAACACAAAATCCTAATTCAATAGATCAGTTTGGAGTAATTTAATTGTATATATAAGCACCTATTTTAAGTGAAAGTGGCCAAAGTTTTGATGATGTGGAAACATATTTCTCTGTTGATCCAAATTTAACTACTTAAGTCACATTTAGAGGTCTTACTCAGATATACATACCATACAACTCTTTTTTCTTTAATAAATTTCAAGACCAATTAATAACAATTATAATAAGATAATTACTTTTTAAATGGCTTTTATAATGTTTATTGAATTATGCAATTTGATTTCTGCATGAAATAAACACGCTCCCCAAATAATAATATGGATGTCTGAACATAAACAATATTTTTTAACTTTAATAATAAACTAAAAAAGACAGAAAATTTTACATTCTATGTCATTATATAATTATTTCATAGAAGAAAATAGGAATACCGTAGCACGTTTTTTTTATATTTTATTTTATTACATAACCATCGTTGAACAGCCGACCCAATTTCTGGGTTTACAACTAATAATATTCAACTCCATAGCCTTGTAATTTTGAACCAATCTAGAAGAATCAATCACTCCTGAATCAGTATCCCCCAGAGGTATGGATTTGTTATGGGAATGTGGAGGACTTTGAAACTCGACAGATTTAACATGCATTAGTCACCATTTACCGCACAGCGAGCCTTCGGCCAGCAGGGATCGAATTCATGACCTCTTAGACATGGACCCAGTGCTTTATCAACCAGGCTATCCCAGCCCTCATATTCTATTTTTAGAAGTAATTGGCCGTGCAATTATACGCAAATCATTATTAAAAACAGACAGTGGAATTTCGATTTCAAGTTTACCGTCGGACCAGCGATAAAAAGCCCACGAAGCGGGATGATGTAAAATTAGGGTATTAAAAAGAAGTATATTTTTCAAAAATTGGCACTTACAAGATAAACTAGAAAAAATATGCAATCTCCACACATTTTTTCTTCAATTTCATCCATCTATATACTTATTATTGTTTGTAAACTTGCTTTGTGGTTTATATGTGCACATATTTCAGAGTTTTTTTATGCTTTCCAAATCTTGGATAGTTGTGGGTTTACCTCCCAATATTATTTGCTCATCTTCATCGTTTTTATCCTTATCATCAGGAGCAGGGATCATCAAATTCAGAAGATCTTCCGAAGTACATTTTTGTTCCATAAGGTCAATTTTCCCATTGGATATTCGATGTGGGGTGATCGATACGCTGTGATACGTATCCTCTAGTTCGTTGAGTCCATAAAGCTGTTACAAGATGGAACAGACAACGGATACTAAGGGTAACTGATCATAATATCTGTTGATCATTATATCACTTCTACTGTTTATGTAAATACAGTAGAGAACCATTTATCCAATATCCAGATAACCGGGAAACCAGAAAACCGGGAAAAATTTTGATTCGTTTTCCCGCCATTTTAAACTCGAACGATTATGAAAAAAAAGCGGAAATTGAACTCATCCTTGAAGTTGAGTAGAGGAAAATGTAAGGAAGGGGAGAATTTTCTTCCCCGTTTACCCAGAGAAAAGTCATTTCCTCCGCAACTTTGAAGGCAGGGAAGGGAGGAATGTTTTATTTTCTCCTTCATCATCATCTCCGTCAATCAAGCTCAAGAGTGTGGCATGCTGATTTCGTTTTCTGCTTGATTTACGAGGGGGGTGGGGAAAATGCATTGCATGCATATCAGTGAACAGAAGATGAAAGAGAAAAATATATTTATCTATTTGAGATCAATTAATAAAAATAAAATCTTTTTCTTCTGAATAAATTCTCATTCTTTGGAAGTGCGGTATCATTTGCAAGTTTTTATTGATGTGGAATCACATCTGCTGTAATTAAATATCGTGTTTTTATCAACAAAAAAATATAAATAAAAGGAGAATTGTTTATTAATTTAAACAAAGGATTATTTTATGAAGCAGATTGCAGCTTTGTTTTTCTGATTTCACTAAGTTTGATTTTTTCTTCTTCTCACGATAAATTTCGCACTCAATAAATTAATTCTTTTTATTCATAAATTGTATCATTAGGTTTTTTTTTTAAAATTCCGTTGATCTTGCCTTGTTCCGGGTTTTAATATTTATGCTAGTGCCTTTTTTAACTATCGTTTCGGTTCGATAATTTTCAAGTGTTTTTATTTAGATTAATAAGTTTTCCTTTTATTTTATTGTTTCCCCCGTATAATTAGGCATGAAATATATTGCATTATTTAACCATTGGTTTTGTTTATATTAGTTAATTTAGGAATTGCAATTATTTTTAAAAAATAAATACGAGAATTTTGTATTTTTTAAACTTGTTTTTCTTGTCTAAGCTTGCAAATTTTTTTATTCTTTTTAAAGTTAGGAGTACCTTTCTTTTTTCTCTTACTTTATGCATTACACTTTTTCCTTGTAATTTGGATTCGATAAAACATCGATTAACGACACTTTTTGGCTGATCCAGAAAACCGGGAAATTCTGAAATCCGGGATAGCGATGGTCCCGAGCATCCCAGATAATTGGTTCTCTACTGTACATACATTGTTGAATATTATATGTTTTCCAGTGATCTCCTGAGCCTTACTAATTGAAAAACAATACAGAGAGACATTTGTGTTACAAGCGTTTAATGATTTTTTTATTTCCTCTAAGAAAGGAAATGCATAAAAAATTATAGAGAAAATACATGCCCATCCACTGAAATAACAACGTTTCATGAGTTAACATTCGCATTTGAAGGTGTGATAAATAAGCTATTATTGATAATGAAAATGATAAATTAGTTATTAATAATGGTTGGTTGAATGTAGAGTTTTACGGTACAATATCCAAAGAAGGATATGCTGAGCCAAACAATTTGTTGAGTCAGATCTAATGGTCAATTGCACACAACAATTTCATCGCTACAAAATAAATGAAACTGATAAAATTGTTAATTAAGACACATATTTTTAAAAGTTCATAAAAATCGATAAAAGGCGTAATTCTATAAAATACATAGAAAAGGTAAAACGGCACACAAGTAAGAAATAAGAGTGAATAAAATAAGATAAGGCAGTTATATGCAATATAAAATGTCAATAGCTCGTAAAAATGTCGGGATGAATTTCACCTCATAAATCCTTCATACATAAAATAGTGCTATTAAAAAAGGTTAGACGATGTTGGTTAAAATGTGATGAACCATAAGTAAAACATTACCAATGTATTATTAATAATGGATAAGTTAAATATTAGTAATATCCAATTTTAAATATGTAATTCTAACTAATGCTCAGTCACAGGGACATGCTTAATATGCCCAATGATAGACGTGTGAGGATTTATATCAATCATATTCGAAGAATTAGTTCTATTTGAACTTTAGTTTCTTTACCAAACTAACGTTAAAAGTTGTTACAAGGAATCGCGCTACTAGGAATTTTTTTCGCACCACACTACTCACAACGCTACAAAAAAAGTAGCAACTGGAGCAGTTTCGTTACTCATAGTGTGCACATTAACACACCACAAATTGTAAATGATCCAACACAGGTCCATGCGATAACAATAAATCAGGTCCCTACAATAACAGGAAATTATAAAAAAATTGAGAAATCGATATATAACTGCAAATTAGTTATAACTCACTTAAAAGTAGAATTTGTACAAAATTGCTTTTTAAACAATCTCTGAATTTTTTTTTTTAATTATACAGATTCAAATAGAAATCTAAGTCTTACCACTTGCTAGAATCGAAAAAAGTAGAGCTGAGCATAGGTACTGCATAATCCAACAAACATGCAACAATTCCAAATACAGAAAATGTGGTCAAAACAGATGGATCAAAATACCAAAGCAAACTACAAAGAGAAAATAAGATATTAATTATTTGGACAACAATCATGGAAGTCAAAAATTTATTAAAGAGAAATGATTTTCCAAACGATTAAATACATGAGGGTGTAAATGAGTGTGCCTTTTTTTTTCTTTTTTTTTAAGAAGCAACCAATTGTGAATTTTGTCATTCCAGAATAGAACAATATTATAAAGACAAATGAATAATTTTTTTAGAGCTGTTTTATAAAAATATTGTGCACTAATCTAATTTTCTTTCTTCTCCTTACTATTATTGTTAATTTTTTTTAAGTAATTAAGGGATATCAAGAGAGTTTAGGAAACAAAATGCAGTCATTCTCTTGCTACAAAAAAATATTATTTTATATGTATTTGAAAGTAAATCATCTATATACAGTTAAAAAAAAAATCATAAAATTAAAATTTCTTCAGAGAAAGCTAGAGACTTACTTTAGATTAATTTATTTAAAGAAAACAAATTGCACAAACATTCAAATATTCTTCAGTTCAAAAATATTATACCTTTCATTTTAAAAAAAAATCAATATTGATCTTATTACATAAAAAATAATTAAATTAAAATTATATAAATGTCAATTTCAATGAGTACACAAGTAATTTTTCTTTAATATGGCCAGCTTCCAAAAAATATTGCAGATTCCTACTGTGGACCAAATATTTAAATTTTTTTTTACATGGATGGCAAGTTTGCAGAAGGGGAAACAAAACACACAAAGGAGAAATAGGTTTTATGTAATGAAAGTGGAAAAAACTCTTTCAAAATGCAATTTTTCAAACAATTATTTGCAAACTAGTTTAAATAACAAAGTTATTTTCAAAGTTATTTAATAAATTTAGCTATTCTTAAATCAGTAAAAACTGGTAAAAATTAATGAATTTCGTAAGAAATTAGAATAACTTTAGTCCTTCAATATTTCACAAAACATTTTCTTCAATATATCTTGCATAGTAAAACCTAGTTATACATAATTATATAAAGAATCTGTAAAAATATTATAATGCAGTTTTTACTATGCCACTAAATTTACAAATCACGCATTGAAGCCATGTATGCACTACTGCAAAAACAAAACAAAAAAATTGCACATTGAATTCACAAACACAAATGTCATATAAATTTCTATAATCAAACGCTGTTAAATTACCCAAACTAAAGAGCTATAAGATTTTAATATTCTGCACAAAATTAAAATAAATATAATGAAAATAGCTATATTTTTTAAATTCAATAAGAAGAATTTTAACCATTTTAGTTTCTTCCATTTCATCCAATTTTTTTCATTCTTCCAGTTTTTTAAAGCTTCTTTCTACACAAAATGTCACCCATGGTTTTTAAAAAGCCATGATAACAATGATTACATAGATAATTACACAGGGTGCATAGCCAAATTTTTGAACAAAAAGTTAGCACCTCTTAAGCACTTTTTGAGCACTCATGAAAGATTCTTAAACTCTTCATTTCTAAAAAAAAATATAAGGGGATATTTCCTTATCGTTATCTGTAGGGCCAACTACAATCACCAAATCAAAGTGCCAAATAGATTTTGAACTTTAAAAAAACAAGTAGGTGTTTGCCTGGGGGTGGATACGATTAAATTTGGTCACTTTCTGTGATTTTTTTTATTTTTAGTTTCTCTTAGGCCATTGCTCGATAGTTGCCAAAACTTGATAATTATTCTCCAACAGATCACGATACAGAAATCTCTCCAAATATGATTAGGATATGTGCATGAATAAAAAAACTTTTCTTCCTATTATGAAGAAGTTTTTATGCATATATATATATACACATGTGAACTTTCAATAGAAAGGAATTATTTTTATTCATGCACATATCCCAGTAATATTATTATGGTTGAATGAATTGTGAAAACATTGAATAGAATAGCACAAAAACAATGCTTTTGGCATAATTCGTGACAAAAACTGACATGATAAAAAAATATCTCATTTTGGAAAAAGGAACATTAAGGACTTTTTAAAAAACAACCAATGAGAGAACGAAAATCGAAAATAAGCACTTTTTAAAAATGCTACGCACCCTGTTGCATTAGTTCTTTAAAATAAATATGAAGAACATGCCTTGAAACAAGTGAAGTATATTAAATACATACAGAAACACCACTGTTACTGTGCCAGCAGTGATTCCAGGATAAAAAGGTTTTTCCCAAACAAGCAATGAATGAAGGTGTATCAACACTTCTCGCCAGTTTTCGAGTCGTCGTTTGCACAGCTTAACAAGCTGAAAATGGAAAGTAAGTATTATAAAAAATAATAAAAGTACACTTTTATTTTTAAATACAGAGCAATACATAGACAACATTTAAAAATCAGTGTATTTATAAAAAAAATTTAAACCAGAAATTATCAGTTACATTAGTAATTGAACAGTCACAGTTGATCTATAATACCCAAACTATATCCTAGTTTTTTTTTTATTTTTATTTACACCAACATCTTTATTTGTTAAAACAATAAAACTATTGGGCACTGTCCTTTAAACTTTTGATTTCATGCCTTTTTTTTAATGACGAAGCCAGAATTTTTCGGGATTTGGGTTATAAAATTGATAATTGATTCATAAACTTACTTTGACAGTTTTTGAAAAGTGTCAAAATCTGGGGAAAGTTTCTTTTTTGAGATTAGAGGCATTTTATTTGATACTAAAACATGCATTATATACTATGCATTACATACTTGCATTATATACTATGATAATTATTATTTACATCATATATCACAGATAAAAAATGATGCCAAAATCATTGAAACTATTAATTGTTTTTTCTAATGGTGATCTTAATGTTTTAAGACTCTTATTATAATAACTATACGGTTTATATTACAGGTAATAACTATGAGTTGTTTAATTATTATCAATCTAAACATTGATTTTAATTTTTTTATGTTGCAATTTAGACAGATTTTTTAGATTAAGTAAAATTAAAGTGTTTGTCAATACTTGTCTGATCTTAACGTGCTTTATACTTGCATTGATATAAATAAATAAACAGCATGAATCAACTAGTTGTATTCATTCATCGAATTCTATCACAGATGAAATTCTGGAAGGGGAATAATGTGGTGTAACTACCACTATAAATATTGAATACCAATTCACTAGTATTCACCACAATAGTCTAGCAGTGTAATAAACAGTTAAAAACAGCAAGACAAAAAAATTTTTTTGCCACTAAGTAGCAATAACTACAAAAATCTAAAAAGCAAATTAAAAACCTTAACATTCCATTAAAATATTGAGCCACCAATGAGGAGAATTTCATGGTGAAATTCTCTAGAGACTCCATTTGGGCAGTTGTGTCAATTATGTAATTTATATTTACACTTGGCTACTGAATTATTTTGCAAAATTTTCCAGAAATAATTTTATCTTAAAGAAACACGAAATATAAATTAAAAGCGTTATAATATATGATTCGGGGATATTTCTATTTCGAGATCTGTCGCACCAACTACAATTATCAAGGCTCCAAATGGATTTTTTAAACTTGCAATCTTTTTTAAAAAATAAAAGACACCTAGAGATTTGCCTGTGGGTGGCTACAAGTTATACTCTTCGAGTTAGATCCCTATTAGGAATTTTCTGTTGGGCGGGGGTTCTTGAGGGCTAATAATCTGAAACTTCAGAAATTTGGCGATTATTCTGCTACAGATCATGATACGGAAATCTTCCCCAGATTACGATACGGAAATATCCCCCAAAATAGCACTAGATAGTTTAAAAATGTAATTTAGACTAACATAAGAAATTAACTTGCCTGATCGGGATTCTGGGATGCATCCTCCGGTTTAGTTTCAGAGTTATCGGCCATAAATAAAGTTTTAAGGTTTAATTAATAAATGGAATCTTAATATTCAATATACTTGCAAAATGATAATAAATCAGTCATCGATTTCTAAGGGAAAAAAGATGATAACAATAATTGCTTAATGAAGCCACTCAATTAAAAACAAATTCAGTAAGTAACAGTAAACAAACAAATCTAAGCATTGCACTATTTCTATGAGTGACTAGATCAAGTGGTGCAACTGACACACCCACCATTACGTTTCATTAACGTCATCAAGGACTAGTGTAGTGCCGCCATCTTCAGATCAATTTTGTAATAACTAATAATTTCTTTAATTTCAAAACCATACCTTACTCAGCGTTATTTCACAACCATTACTTTTTGTTTTTTCTGTTTAAAACTCTTCTTCGTTTTCTAGTTTATTTCACCTTTAAAAGAAAAAAGAACTTTTCTCAGTTTTCATAAGAAGAAAAAAATTTTTTAAGGCTTATTATAATTTCAACACAAAGCTGAATACATTTCAGTATAGAAAACTGTCAAAACATGCAACTTATAATGCTGACTAAAACACATAGGTATTTAAAGAATATTTCCAGTTTAAATATTCGTATAATTACAACAAAAAAGAAAAAAAGAAGAATTATCTTACTTCTTAAAATGTATAGTATGTTGGAAAGTTCTTTTTTTTTTTTTTTTTTTTTTTTTTTTTTTTTTTTTTTTTTTTTTTTTTNTTTTTTTGTTAATAAAAATATAAACAAAGAGTTTCTTTACTATGTTCAAATTAAACTAAAAAATTTATATTAATAAAAATTAATACTTTTAAATCATTAACTTTTTAAAATATTCAGAGTAAAAAAATATACAATTATATTAATTCCTTCTAGCAACTTACCACTAAGTAATTATAAAAATACATACATATTTATGAAATTTCTAATTGACATGCTCTTAAAATCGAAAGAAACATTGACATTTTTTAATTAAATTTGAAAGTAGAAAGAAAACATTGGGGATATTTCCTCATAGTGATCTGTCGCACCAACTACATTCGCCAAGGTGGCAAATAGATTTTACACTCGGAAATTGTTTTAAAACAAAATATGTAGATGTTTGCCCAGGGCTACGAAGTGTAACTTTCCAGTGGGTCCCTTTCTGAGATTTTGTTTTAGTTCCTTGTGGGAAGCTTCCCGGAAAAGATAAGACTTTTCTATTATTCTGCCACAGATCACGATACGGAAATGCCATAAAATTTTTTATCCCTAATGAAAGTAGTAGGTTAAACTAAAATAAAAAAGAAAATTTTCAAAATTTGTTAATATCATAACGCTGTGTGAAATTAAGAACATTTCTCGCTGTTTTAACAAGAAAAAGCTGCGAAAAAGACTTCATTTTGACTGTAAATGAATTTTAAAATCGTACGAAGCGTGACTAAATTTAAGAATAAGAAAATTACATAGATTTTTAAATTTAATATTTTTATCAAAATCTATATTTAGTACAATTAAAATCCTAAAGATGGCAGCACAGCACTAATTTTTGATGATGACAATGAAACGTAAGGGTGGGCGTGTCAGGTACATCGCTTGATCTAGTCGCTGCTATTATTACTGGACGCGGGCCTAGTAAAAGAAAAAAGAAAGGAAAACAATCCTAATTTTTGCGTCAAAGTATTACAATCACTAAGGAAGAGAGAGACTCCACCCTAATAAACATTACAATTCAATTGGTCAAATTTGTAATCATTATATGACGTCATACACTTAAGTTAAACAACCCATTGCTGATGCTATGAAATACAATACGAACAATAACAAGCTTCCTAAATCCGGAAAAAATTTAGAAAACTTCCAGTAAACATTGTTTTTTCCTTCCTCGGTTTCTTTTTTCTTTATCCCCTTTCCAACGTCATCGCGGTTCGAGGGTGAAACGTCTTCGGACGGCTAACGCAGACGGATGAGACGGTAGAACGAAAAGTGCAATTAACAACAAGTGCAGTAGCTCTTGATTCTAAGAGATTTGACTAATTAAAATACGGCACAACTTAACTGTTTTGGAAGCATAATCTGATTTTATCATGTCTGATAGTGAGTTGGAGGAGGATGAAGTTCCTGGGAACTTCGAGGACTCTTTTGAGGAAACTCAGCCTGAATGGGCCCACTCTGGAGCGTTCCTGAGGGAGAAACTGAATAGGTTAATTGGCACATACAGGGTGATTCTAAAAAGATGGGCAAAATTTTAGGAAGTGATAGTACACACCCAAGCAAACAATTTTTATCAAAGAATGCATGGTCGAAAACAAAACGCAAAGGTGCTGGCGCATTTGGAAAATTGTAGGATGCAAACGTGAAAGCTCCATTCCTGTTGCGAGTTACTGCGATGCGTTACTTGTCGCCAAGCTTTCGGTTGCCGCAGGGAAAGTTCGTGATATGCCTGGTGTGTTTCAGAATGTTCACCTATGTTTTCTTCGCCGTTGTATTGCGTGCATAGCCTTTGCCGGCCACTGTTTAGAACACTTATTGTAATCACATGCCATTAAATTTGCTTTTATAACCTAACTTCATCGTTCTTTGTGTGTTTTTGCCTCATATAAGAACATAAACTTTGACGCCCTCTAGCGGTTTTGAGTTTTGTTTTGCGACCATGCAATTTTTGATAAGAATTGCCTGCTGCTGTACTATCAATTCCTAAAATTTTGCCCATATTTTTAGAATCACCCTGTATAACGGAAAACATCTGGGTCTGGTGGAGCAGTCCCAACTGATGATGATCGCATATGAGTATAATGACATTATTATTAGGCAAAAGGAAGTGCTCTCCTACACCTAGAGGCTGCAGCATGAAACTGCATTAAACACAATGATAAAAAATAATAATAAAAAGAAAAAGGGTAACACACATGCAGAAGTGCTTAAAAGAGATGACGTTACTGGGGTCCCAAAAGTGAAGGCAGACCACTGTGAAGCCAAAGGATGACAGTGTCAAAAGAGACGCAGCAGAATTGATCAAAGAAAAAATTAATCCAAGTGAGCTCAATATTGGTTAAAGAAAATTAAGAAATGGCTGAGTTTTGCTGAAAATGGAAAAACGTAGCGACACTAAGAAAATCCTGGAGGAATTTAGACAAACCGACTTGAGTGAAAATTTTACTTGTTAAGAGGAGAAGAGATGGAAACCTCGGCTGATTGTACTTGGGATAGAAAAGATAAATGAAAAAGAAGAACTTAAGTTCTAACTAAAAGAAGCAAATAAAGATTTTGAAGAAGCTGAAATAGAAGTTCTTTTCACCACTAAAGGTAAAAAAAGGCACTCACTGGGTCCTGCAACTTGACCAGAACTCCTTTACCAAAGTGACTAGAAGGGGACACCTCACCATTGGCTGGCAGGCCTACAAGGCAATAAAGTAGGTACTTGAGACCCTTGCAATGCTATTGCTGCGATCATTTTGGCCATATGGCAAAATTTTGCCAGTATGGAAAATCTTGTGTCAACTGTGGATTGAGTAGACACAAAAAAGCTGACTGTCTGAAAAAGAGCAACTGCATCAACTGTAAGGAGGCAAATACAAAATTCCGACTAGGACAAATCATTGTGCTCACAAACAAAGCTGTCCATCGGGCGAAAGAACAAATGCAAAAACGAACAAGATATGGATCCTAGAGTGGGCACCACGTTCCGGTTTTGTAATCCTTCGAGCCTCTGACTTTTATTGTAATCACAAATGTTCTTGTGAGCAATTGCTAATTTTATATTTTATTGTAATTGTTTTAAATAAAGTTTGAAATGGTTTTCCGGGTTGGAGGGCTCTTGGTGGATCTCGGGGTGGCTGCCGGTTCACTGCTGTCTGCCCAGTACTGGCACCGCAGTTTCGGTATCATCACCCTTTTGCCCGTTGCACTACCCACAGGAACACTCCATCCTCCTTTGCCATCCGACACGCATTGTGTTGCTCTACTCCTGCGTGGCTCAGAGCCTTAATGTCCGCATTCTGCTTGGGCTCTCGTGCCGTCAGGGGGTCTATTATGACGATGAGACATCAAATTTCGGCGTATGGGCCTATGACCTGGTTCGTCGTCTATTAATTACCTTATCCCCTTTCCACATATCGAGTCGTCTTACAATCGTTCTACCGATAGATATTTTTCAGGGCAATTTTCGTATTCATATCAGAAATACCGGTATTTCTAATGGTCAATTGGATTGTGTTGCTAAGCCCATTGAAGTCGGAGGAGTTTCTGATTCAGAGACAAAAGAATCCTGAGCAGAGGTTTTTTGCACGCAGCTGATTCTGTAGCAAACGGGAACAAACCGTTGAGCTAGACAGCAAAACACCTGCAACCGTGCTCAAACGTCGTAGTGCTAACACACGAAAAGCTGCTATACGGTCAGCACAGCCTTGTGGATGAGATATCTGTCGAACCGTTTTCGCTTTTTTTCTTGCGTTTCCATTTTTCCAAATACGCAGCTGTTGTGGCTATACACAGCGTGCTGGCTGCGTATAACATTCCCTCTTCCACGATTTAAATTTACGTTTTCTTTTATAGTTATGAATTCTAAGTAAAAGAAAATTAAAAAGGTGGGGTATCAATTTATTAAAAATACTTCCAAAATTCGATTTTTCAGGAACTATTAGACCGATTTCGTTCAAATTTTGCCATTTAAAAATCCATTCTTTAAAATGATGTAAAAAATTTTATATCTAACAATTCGAAATTTTTTCGATTATTATTAAATAAAAACATAAATACATACTTACTAAAAGCTATATTTGCATGAATTTAAAAAAAAAAAAAAAAAAAAAACAAATTTTATAATTGTATTCAAAAGTTTTTTAATTCGCCTCGAACGCTTTTGAGATATGGTGAAATACGCAAAGTTTGTCGAAAAAAAGGTTGTTTATTCAGTGAAAGTACGTTTTCGTGTCTGATTTCATAACTTAAAATATCGCCAGCATAAATTAATTTTCATATTTGAGGTCAACCTCTTGAACCATAAGATTGAGTTCTAGAACATGAAGATCTGATCATTAGACAAAAAGTTATTCAGGTTGGTCCGTTTAGTTTCTTGCGCACTGTACATAATGGCAAAAGATTTTTTTAATTATCATATATATGAAAATAACTTAACTGGTGGTTATCCACTTATAACCATGAGCGTATATATAGGGAGAATATATTTTTTTAAAAAATATTATTATTTAAACATTTGCATGTCCTAATTCACTTTACTTTTCATACAAG